ATGTAACCCAATAAACAAATTAACAACCGGTGTAATGTCGAATTTGGATATATACCACTAAAAGGTAGGAGATATTCAGTTTAAAAGATGTCACGACGAATGTGATATTTCATATCTTTAATGAGATAAATAGCTTAACAATGTAAGAGGGCCATCTGACTCACACTTGATCGTTGAACGTCATGTGAAATATGTTAGATGATTGTCTAAAGCGCCCAATCAGGGCCTAGATTTTCGAAGCTCTCTTAGCGCTAAGATAGTCGTAAGTGCCATACATTGATATTAACTTACGACTATCTTAGCGCTAAGAGAGCTTCGAAAATCTAGGCCCAGGTCAGTTACTACGAAAAGACAAACTCATTAATATCGCGTGTATCCGCCTCTATTCTCAAAACAATCCCGGATTCAACGAGGTAACTCCTCGTCCAACGTGAACTTGGTTCATCCTGTCCCATACTTCATGCAGGGCAGCCATGTCTTTTCATGGTAAATGACCTGACTGGGCGCTTTGGACAATCATCTAGCATATTTCATATGACGTTCAACGACCAATGCAACGTTATACGTTATTTTTGGGGATGAATTAAAGTATGCCGTTAACGATAGACAGAACGATCATTTTTTTTTTTTTTGATGTTGTCTTTTCTCATTATTTGTTAGTTTTTTTTGTTTTGTTTTGTTTTTGTTTTCTGTTGTACATATATATACTAGTATATACTATACTAGTATACTAGTATTCAATCCTATATATTATATTATTATTATTTATACACAGAAAATGCCATAGCACCAAATTCAAAAGCAAGCAATTCGTTATTCATATTACATAGTTACAATTTATGATAAAGGTCAACTGGACTAAGTGGTGACCAGACCATGGTAAGGTGGTTATGTTCTTCTGTTGAAGGTACTCGATATCAATACGAGCCCTCGGAAACACAAAACGACGTCCATGTTGGAAGTATGCCTAAAAAAGAAATACCCGCCCACCCCCACCCCCAAACAAATGACAAAAAATAAGAAAAGACAACATTAAAAACCCAATGAAAAATGATCGTCCAGTCTAACGTTAACGTCATAGCTTAACGTTAACGACCTTTTATGGTAATGTCCGTCAATCGTGGAATAACACGTGGACGTCGGACATGCGTTACGAATTGTCTTTCCACCTGCTCTTACACCTGTAGCTCAGTGAAGTTCATTTCAAATTTAAGTGATACCTATGACTATGAACACAGTCGTTCTGATGAAACGGTCTTATGCGCAAGTTGTCGCCCTTGATCGACCAGATCGACGTCTGTCATCAACGTTATGTGACGGTCAATATCGAGATTGTAATCTCCTAATTACTGACTCATTTTTCAAATGAACGTGAACATCATACTACAAACTCACTATTCGATATATACGAATTCATTACAACCAATTCTGATATATTTGTAAACCTCGAGCTCCCGTTCTCCTGTATATCGTTCCCGTGATATTACACCAGCAAACTCCTTATCATAGGTACTGCGGCTAAACTTTGACTCTCGCTTGTCTCGAAGTACGGACAAATCGACCTAAATGTGACGGTTTTGTAAATTTGTAAAGAGGTTTGCGACAGTGTCTGTAATGTAATAACAGACCCGTGAAGGTCCGAGTTAGAACTGGTTTTCAGCTTCCTATGCTTGTGGTAAGAGGCGACAAAGGGGATCGGGTGGTCAGGCTCACTGGCTTGGTTGACACATGTCATCGTATCTCAATTGCGTAGATCGTTGCTCATGTTATTGATCACTGGGTTGTCTGGTCCAGACTCGATTATTTACAGACTGCTGCCATATAGCTGGAATACTGCTGAGTGCGGCGTTAAACAGCAAACCAACCAACCAATAACAAACAACTTAATTGAAAATTATGTTTACGCTATTGCAACATGTTTGACGCAGTGACAAAACATACGTCAGAGCCAGCAATAAACATCTCACCAAAACAAATATTATCACTTGTTATTAAGTTTCACAGTCAACAAATAATATGATGTATGAGTGACCTTCAAATCCTGCGATGCATGGATAAGTGTATGCATAAAGCCGCTTCATTTACCTCCACCGACTGGGGGCGACATATCTCACATACCTCGCCAGGTAGATGGAGCGTGACGCTACCTTCCTATCGGCAGTTATCAGTACTTTCTCACCTGGGCCTGTCAACATACACGTAGTGCATTAACGTCACCTGTCAGTGGGGAAATGGTGACATATCATGACTAAATTCAATAATTATTCCACAAACATACACACATGGGACTTGATAAAACAATGAGAATATCGTTTCGTACCTGACAGTCATTAAACGAATTATTTTGTTTGTTTTGTTTTTGTTATGATTATTAATAATCATGCGTCAACAGCGTGTATACGTGTTCAATACTATGTTGACTTAGACACCTGGATCAGCTTGTCATCATTAATTGATTAGTTCTTTAAATCCTATGGCATCAATAAATTCGTAATATTTCATGCGTTAATGGTGGGATTAAAGTTGGTTGAAACTGGCGATACTTTAAATGTAGCATATCCAGTAAGTGAATGAAGGAGTTTAGTTTTGCGCCGCACTCAGCAGTATTCCAACTATATGGCAGCGGTCTGTAAATAATCGTGTCTGGACCAGACAATCCAGTGATCAACATCATGAGCATCGATCTACGCAATTGGGATACGATGACATATGTTAACCAAGTCATAGAGCCTGACAACCAGGGCCTAGATTTTCGAAGCTCTCTTAGCGCTAAGATAGTCGTAAGTTAATGTTAATGTATGGCACTTACGACTATCTTAGCGCTAAGAGAGCTTCGAAAATCTAGGCCCAGGTCCGGTTAGTTGCCTCTTACGACAATCATGAAGACTAATTCTAACCTGGACCTTCACGGGTCCATGGTTTAGAGTAACAGCGATGGGCTTCCAAATAGTCCCTTCGTGGGAATCGAACCCGGTTCTCCAGTGAGATAGCAAACAAGATAAGCAACAGGTTACCAGTGTTTGGATTTCTATTAAAATTTGCCGATGGAACACAATTTATAAATCAAAGAGTGAAGAACCTTCTGGGTTTTGCATGAACATGACTTTCAGAGGTCGTCAAAGCTAATTGTGCACCTATGAACCTAGAGAATGGGTTTAGCATCACCTCATCTTTGTGTATGTATATCTTGAAAGTCCATGTATATTTTATACATATCAATATAATACACTGGTCGTACTTTGATAAATGATTGCGATACCAGTGCTACAAGAATAGTACAAGACATGTAAACGTTTCTCGAGATGGTCGCAAATACTGTGCCAAACGTATTCGGCTAAATAACTCAGATAACACAGTAGCACAGAGAACGGATTTGCAATTAGGAACTGTGATGCATAAAGTTAATGAACCAATACAATTTATGTAACAACATGTTCACCTGTGGTTCAAATCCAGCTGAACATGAAAATTACACCCTGTGTGTTCATATTGATGTATTTTATGACAGTATACGAAAGTTATCTACAAATATCCTTCTACAGATAATGACACTTTAAACCAACCTTAAAACACCATGCGTAAGAAAGTAATCTTAAAGCATAAAAAAATGTACCTGTGAATTATATAAAATGTTGAGTTAGGATCAGAACAATGGTAACTGTGTCTCCTGATTCAAACAATAACCAAAATTACACATTAAAAAGCTTTGAGAGCGACTCTTCCATATCATGCGTTTAGTCCAAATTCTTTCACAACATGTCGCCTCTCTTCTAGATGGTCGAAGTAGAAACGGAACGCACTGTCTGGCTTACGACTCCTCTTCCACGCTATTCACCCCTCACCCCATGCATGTAATGTTGGACATAGAGGTGGATTTAGATTCTTGTCACAGGGGGTAACAATGGGAAGGGGTTAAAGAGTTGTATGCGTAAACTTTATCACTAGATAAAACTATGTGGTCGGTGGTCATCTGCTGTTAAACCTCCCTCCATGCCAGCATGCATTTGACCAAGTCAGCAAATCAGTATTTCTGATTAAATTATGTGTAAAATATATACAAGAGTTTTGACACGCGTGTTACAATGAACAATGCATACTGGACAGTCGGATCTGGATTGAAAGATGTGTCTCTATTGTTAAAATGAGATGAAAGACTTATCCGGGGTCGTTAAGGATACCAAGTGTAAAATAGTCAGTGGTTAACTACAATAGAATGGGGCAAAGCATACACCCTTGTGGTAGCCCTAGATGTGATGGCTAAATGCACATTTCCACTACTGCAAACAGTGCTTACATTACACGGCTAAGTAAGCACAAGGTCTGTGTGGCTAAAATCCTGCTGACCAGGACAGGGGATATGTAGATAATTCACTGCCAGTCACAGTCACTGCCCTTCTTGAAGTTGACACTTCAATACAGACAACCTTGAAATATCCAGCTGATTTATGCAGATATAATTGCAAATAGCCGTTTTTGGTAGTTTGAGTTTGACATTGGTCTGGGTCACAGATAAAGACGTGCTACCACCTTGAGAGAAAATATACTCCCCCTGCTTCTGTTGACGTTTCCCTCCCTGCATAGCAACCCTAACAAACGTTGAGTGGCATGTTTGACAAACTGCATGTGTTCCCAGCACTATAGTGTGCAGCGTGTTGACACTTTGAGGTCAAAAGAAGGATCATAGTTATTAGTTTTGTTATCAATAGTTTACTTTCTGTAAGTCGTGATTCTCCATGGAAAGGTGAATATGGAGGGTAGAGTGTGTGGGCTGGATTCAACGACTGTTTAAACAGCATTTCACTCATATCAAGCGTGACAGTTTTATATGGGAAGAAAGCCTTTTTGGGGGCTGGTAACTTGGATTAACAACAAGAATGAGTTTGTTGGTGTGAAATCAAGGGCCACAGTTGGGGACCTCAGACTATGTTAATCTGGGCGTAGAGTTTTCGAAGCTCTGTGTACACCTTACACATTTTAGGATTCAAAACAAAATCCTGATATATATTCTTCAAGTTTATTCATAATTTAAACTGTATAACAAAAAATAACAGTCAGTTTGAACAATCATATTTACAGTCAACATAAACAAGACTACCATTGCTGTAACCAATGAAAAGGACTGGGTGAGTTGGAGGAAGTATCTCAGTACCGGTAACTCCTTTTGTTGTTATGATGCCTGCCATACAGGTTAAACAGCAGGACAAATCCTCCCAGTGATTGGTGCTGATCATGACTGGGATTTCACCTCCTGGCTTGCAGCTCTTCAAGTCTGTACAGTGAGATACAGTGCCAATGGGCTCTGATTTGAGTGAAATAGTTGAGTTTACTGACACTTTGAACAATATTTTAGTGTCAACATAGCCTTCTAAATGTGGGATGAGATCATGAATTTAAAACCATAGGCATTTACCAGGGATGGTGCGGACACACCAAGAATCCTGGTCAAAGATAATGTCCACAGCACATCCCAGTGTCTCAAACAACCTGGATGCCAGAGACAAAGGACACCTGCTGTTTTTACAGGTCACGCTCAAGCTTACAGATCGACCCTGAAACACTTCCTTCATGATCTGTAAACACTCCTTGTCATAGTCTCAGCACTGATAGTCTTGAGTTGAGAATGTTATAAATAATGCATGTACAATGAGAAGTATTTACAGATATGGCTGATGATATGAAAGTACATTCTGCTTCAGTACTTTGTAGTACTATGGTACTTCATTTACTGTGGTAAGTAAATAATATGTCATGCCATGCTTAGAAATGTCACAACTATATCACAGTGGTCTAAAAGAAGGAAAGTCTGGACCATACAAACCAGTGATCAGCTGTAGATTAGGGTTACACTGTCACAGGATCAGATCACCTCGCTGACAGTTCATCCTACAATGAGGGCACACATACAGTCATGTCACTCATCAGCCAAATGTGACCACCTATAATATGTACCAGGGTACACATATGTCAGGTACAGTGGTAGGATCCGGTGGTGGTAAGAAGGACTAAGACAAGTGTATGAAATAAGCCAAAAAGCCAGCCAGACATCAGGGCTGGTAACTTCAAAATGTTACCAGTCCAAAATGGATTTAACCAGACCAAATATGGCGAATTTACTCAGATGTATGGAACATCTACAAATTTTACCAGACCATTGGGCTGGCTAGATGTAAATTTAGACCATTCGTCAGAAATCTAGAACATCTCGGGCTGTCGGATGGGCCTTATTTCATACACTGCTAAGACTGACTGAATTTCCCGTTCTTTCAGGAACGATTCCATAAGAACACTGTCATCGATGATAGTAAGATAAACTTGAGGAGGTGGATTGTGTACGGTGATGAAACCCTTTTCTCAGATACTGCTGCAGTGATAGATTTAAACAAAATTGAAGCCATGAGTCTTGTTACATCTAACAAAACCCAATCTGCAATAATGTAGTTTTCATGGTTGACAAAAGGTTTCCAACAATCTCAATCATGATTATCTTTATCAAGCGTCTCTTAGAATAACATATTTTCGCTGGTACCCTTTACAATCTCAACCTCAAAATATCAAATGTTTGGTCCCTAAGTGATATAACTGACACTAACATTGGTCAAAATTCATTCCTAAACAAAAACTTCATATAAAACAATGAAATGTCTGTATAAGATGCACCATTAACATAAATCTATTGATTAGTATATCACTAATTTTGTTTATTCCATAAATCAATACTAAAATCTCCATTGACATTCTTACTTACTGATATTACTGCCTCAAAATAATACAAAAAGCCCAATATGTCTCTTCGAGACATGTATCAATAAATTCGCCATTCCACATATTTATACATTTTAATATCATGACTGTCCTATGTGAAAGTACCATCCTTAAACCATGTCAACATTTATTTAAATGGGGTCAATGCTAATCCCATCAAAATTCACACCGACATACACCATGTTTGACATGTAGAACTCCTGTCCACAGATGTGTCCGGTAATGAAAGAGGCATGCTGATGTCATTGAAAGTCTGTCATACGGAAGAACCTGTCTCCCGCCCTATCTGCCCTAGGGTGGTGTAACCACCATGTACATTCTTCCCATAATTCTCGGGGCACATCCACAGCCGTCGATAACGACCTGAAGTCTCTGTCCCCGATGTGGGAGTGTATGAACGATAACATCCCTTTACAAAGTCGTGCTTTGTGATGACAGGCGTGTAGAGACTTCAGTCATAGCATGAGCAGTACGTCCATAATCCTGACAGACAATGAGGTTCTATTGTGGAGAACATGATGCTCTTCCATGATTCCAGGAAATAGGTAACACAAGATCACCGGACTTCAATAGGAATACATGTTTCCTAAACAGATGATAATACACCCATTGAAAACATCCATGCTCGCGGCAGCATCCTACTGGTCAATGGATGCCTCATTCTCCAGACTTTCTGAACCATTTGTTCTGATGTTGTTGATGTCAAGACCGACTTCTTATAATCCATTTTATTGGTACACTTTAGGTGAATGGTTGACTTCATTCTGTGGACTGAATTCTTTGGTATACTTGTATCATGAGAATGTATGAAAACATAGCTGTAATGATATACTTTGATGCGTATGTGTATCTTGATAGTAATTGTGATATGATACACTAAAACTTGACACATTATAATAAGGACCACTATTTCTTCATCACAGGGGCCTTGTCAGGGTTAAACCAACATATATATTTTAAGACAGTAAAAGGTTTCGGTCTGTTGTTAGAGATTGCTGGAGTGTATAGGTAGATGCAGGCGACTATCAAGCAGTGTGAAAAATCAAACAATAATGATTAATATCAACTCAAGCAATGGACATGGCATGGATGAATAATATTAACAAAATTAGCATAGGATGATTCTTTCATATTGCCATAGTTACCAGTAATCTGTCATGCCAGGGTGTCATAACTCATAACTCATTGTGGTATATAATACATGGAAAAAAGGTTGATACGGAGCCAGATCCACAAAGTGGTCATAGCGCTACGACCATCGTAACACCAGTATTTTAATATAGACTTACAATAGCCTTACCACTATGATCACCTTTTGACACAGGGTATGGATAGATAATCTGATACCAGATACCATGTATTCATGGAATATGGGGATATAGTCATTCCTCCTTTGTATTGAATGTTTTTCTGCAAATTCATATGAAAAAAAAATCTCTGACAAAACAATGTTTCTAACTCTCCTGTGGTTCTGACAATCACTGCTGGGTGATTTCTTTGAGTGAAAGAAAGCATGTGAAGATTAGCCCCACAATCCATGGATCTAGTGTGTGAGAATCCCAAATCACTTGTCTGGGTTCTTCCGGTCCTTGCACATTCTCCAGAAAATATAATACTAAGGTCCTTCCGATCAATTATGAGAATCGTAGAATACTGAATTTTCTCCTCACAGCAATAGGATCATAAGCTCCTGTACTCCAGAGTAGCACCACCAGAATAATAAGCTCCTGGAATCCTGAGACACCACGAGAATCATAAGCTCCTTGAGCCCTGTAATGCCACCAGAATCATAGGCTCCTGGAATCCTGCAATGCCACCAGAATCATAGGCTCCTGGAATCCTGTAATGCCACCAGAATCATAGGCTCCTTGAGTCCTGTAATGCCACCAGAATCATAAGCTCCTGGAACCCTGTAATGCCACCAGAATCATAGGCTTCTGGAATCCTGAGACACCACCAGAATCATAAGCTCCTTGAGTCCTGTAATGCCACCAGAATCATAAGCTCCTGGAACCCTGTAATGCCACCAGAATCATAGGCTCTTGGAATCCTGAGACACCACCAGAGTCATAAGCTCCTGGAACCCTGTAATGCCACCAGAATCATAGGTTCCTGGAGTCCTGAGACACCACCAGAGTCATAAGCTCCTTGAGCCCTGTAATGCCACCAGAATCATAGGCTCCTGGAGTCCTGAGACACCACCAGAATCATAAGCTCCTGGAACCCTGTAATGCCACCAGAATCATAGGCTCCTTGAGTCCTGAGACACCACCAGAGTCATAAGCTCCCAGAATCCTGTAACACCACTAAAATCATATGCTCCTGAACTCCCCAGAAGCACCAGCAGAGTCATAAGCTCCAGTGGTGTCATCTGTGATCGCATCAACGAGAAGTTATCTTTCCTTGAAAGCACATTTGTCCATGAGTATTCCAAGTAGATCAGCAGATCTCATTGTCGTAAATGTCATAGCACCATAGACTCCATCTTGCACGGTGTGACACTCCATGAGTGGAGTTGAACTCTGAAGAACATGGAGATGTCCAACAATGTTATAAATGGTTCATTTACTAACTGTTGCATCAGATTCATGCTTCCCTCACAGCCTCATAAAGATGTTACTCTGCCATGACCATCGGCAGTCTGTTCTGATGCTAATAGCTCATTCTGCTACAGGCATGGTTACATTCTGAAGACTCAGTTCCTCCAAGATTCAGTGAATCATTCGGCCATCGTCATGATCCCCTCTGATTCCATCTCAGACTCCTCCATCTCCTCTTCCTGGCGCTGAATGTGTATGACCTCTGACATGACCTGCCCGGAGTCTATGACCTGTGCCTCGCTCACTGCTATCCGACCATCCACAACCTGATCTTCCGTCAAGGTCAGATCCTCCTCATCATCTGCAACAGAGAAGGACATTCACTGACAACACTGAACCAACAGATATTGAACCATTTTTCATCAAGTTAAACTGTTTTACAATTTTGGGCACAGAAATGATGGCACATTACCATCAACAAGTAAAAAAGTCCTGTATGGGGTCCAAGACACAAACTGGAGACTCTGAGAGTCATACACTGCTTAAAGATTCGTCATTAATATTTCTTGGCATGCTGACAGAAACAATGCTTTTATCCAAGGACCCCGAGTACAATATTGCTGAAGACTAAACAAATATTTTGATTACATTATCAACTTCTGTACCATTGCTTAACTTGGAACCAACATGTTTATACAGTTTGGATTATAGTAAGTCAACGTCCAAGAACACCAATGATCCGAAAACCTTTAAACTGTGAAGCTTATGACTAACTGAGTGAAGATGGTTGGTTGTACAGTGTAGGAAGCAATATGATACCATACCCATCTTGTATATCATATTCATCATCTTGGAGATGACAAACATTTCATAGGTCAAACCCTGACATTTTTATAAGCACTTGCTGATTAATGATGATGTAGATCCACACTTGCGGATGTGTTCATAGGATTTTCTTTACTGAAGTACCATCATGACAGACAATTTAACTGGTAGTGGCAGATGTTGATGGATGGGTACCCATCCTAAAAACAGCCATTGTACACGAGTGAATACTGATTCGGACTATTCAGGATAGGGTTTGGCTATCCAACAGTTGGGACCCATGAAGATCCGGGTTAGAATATTGATCTTCAGTAACCCATGCTTGTCGTAAGATGTGACTAACGGGATCGGTTGGTCAGACCGCTGACTTGGTAGACAGATGTCATCGTATCCAAATTGCATACATCGATGCTCATGCTGTTGATCACTGGATTGTCTGGCCCAGACTCGATTATTTACAGACCGCTGCCATATAGCTGGAATATTGCTGAGTGCAACGTTAAAAACAGCAAACAAACATCTAGCAGTTGGGTTTCTCCGCAACATGTTTTGCTGTCAACAAAGATAACAGGCAATATACATTGTATCAAGACCAAGCAATCTCCATTTCAGTTCTGAAACGCCCCTTGACCACCAAATCTGACTGAAACAGGCTTTGTGACCACCAAATCCTATCTAACTGACCTTATAAAACAAAATATACCAAGGCCCTGTTCTTCCCCTATATACACCTCGAATATGAGGCCTCAAAACTGTTGTCCTACATTGTGATCCATTCCAAACCATAACAGCTATCCATGCTGGGTTTTGTCCCTTTATAGCATCTAACGACCCCTTCCTTCCCTGTATCCCTAGAGGTGAAGCATCCCAGCTAATCAATCTGCTCCTTACTTCACACAAGTTGAAGCCTCATAACTGTTAGCTATTTGAAAAATCTGACATAAACAAAACTACGCCATTGGAACTGTATTTGTGATCATTGAGACATTTAAGATCCTGTGGTGTTGGAAGAAATAAAACATTCAACTCCAACATTGTTTGATGAAGCAGGACACTATACAAAGAACACGGAGGACCCCCGGTCCAGGTATGCTATTAACACACATTGTCACCATACATTATCAAACACTAAACTCCTCAATGATACAGAGACACCATCAAGTCCAATATTAATTGAGGATTTACGTCTCAGGGACACCCTTAATAGCCCTTACTATTACTCGTGTCTTCTCATGATCATATAACTGTCTAATCGAAATGGTGGAAATTCTTAAAGACCTCTGTTTAGAGTGCACACGATATACAAACTTGGAGTTGACAGATGAGGCACTGTCGATGAAGCAAGTCGTCTTTGTAATGTACACAGTGAATCTCTTTCTTCGAATTACCTATACAAAGGCGTGGGAAAGTTTATCTCCATTCAGTCCAGTAAAGTATTAAAGTAGTCTTTCTCTAAGAAGAGAAGCATAAAGCTATACAGTATTATGAGAGATATAGTCGTGTCATGGCCTGTGCTAAGTGATCTGGTGCACGGGATTTAGACGTTTTGTCTCAGAGACTGGAAAAATGTTTTATGTAGGTATCAGATGAATGGAGTCTGAAAAATGAAAATTGCTTAATCATCAAAAACATATTTGGTAGGCTCTGTTATTATTCTATATGATTGTCTCCCATGTCATCAATATCATCAGCATCATCATCTGCTTTGTCATGATCATCATCAATAACATAATCTGTGTCATCGGCTGAATCACAAACTACAGCATTACTATCACTGTCAACATCATCAACCAGATCTCATCTATGTCCTCATGGACTTCATTAACTTCATCACCAACGACATTATCTTCTTATTCTATAGTTGTACTGCTATGTGTGTGTCTGGGATATAGAGTCCATGATGTACCGATACAGTATCAGGATCTGTTGTAATGCAACACACATTGTGATACAAGGATCATGATGCATCACTGACAGACACACATGTTGTAATGCAACACACACTGTGATACAAGGATCATGATGCATCACTGACAGACACACATGTTGTAATGCAACACACACTGTGATACAAGGATCATGACGCATCACTGACAGATGCACATGTTGTAATGCAACACACACTGTGATACAAGGATCATGATGCATCACTGACAGACACACATGTTGTAATGCAAAACACACTGTGATACAAGGATCATGATGCATCACTGACAGACACACATGTTGTAATGCAAAACACACTGTGATACAAGGATCATGATGCATCACTGACAGACACACATGTTGTAATGCAAAACACATTGTGATACAAGGATCATGATGCATCACTGACAGACACACATGTTGTAATGCAACACACACTGTGATACAAGGATCATGATGCATCACTGACAGATGCATCACTGACAGACACACATCTTGTAATGCAACACACACTGTGATACAAGGATCATGATGCATCACTGACAGATCATGACACACATGTTGTAATGCAAAACACACTGTGATACAAGGATCATGATGCATCACTGACAGACACACATGTTGTAATGCAAAACACATTGTGATACAAGGATCATGATGCATCACTGACAGACACACATGTTGTAATGCAACACACACTGTGATACAAGGATCATGATGCATCACTGACAGATGCACATCTTGTAATGCAACACACACTGTGATACAAGGATCATGATGCATCACTGACAGACACACATGTTGTAATGCAACACACACTGTGATACAAGGATCATGATGCATCACTGACAGACACACATGTTGTAATGCAACACACAGTGTGATACCAGGATCATGATGTATCACTGACAGACACACATGTTGTGATGCAACACACACTGTGATACAAGGATCACAATGCATCACTGACATGTATATTTTACATACCCAGTCTCATCTTTCACTACAATGCTGAAAGCAGTGTGAGACATTCTGTATGTTTAATCAAGAATCCCACTGATAAACATTATTCAGAAAATATTTCATCCAGTACAAATCCAACAAAGCGGAATATTCTGAAATCTAAAGAAAACATGTACAGGTCTTTTCAGGCTACAGAGGGCATAGAATCTCCCCAGAATCCACTGGAGGCCTACAGGAGTTTACTAAAGCATGCAAGATAATGTCCCAGATATAAGTAAGTATAGGGTGTGTGAAACATGGCTTAGTCATCCCCATCCCCATCAACACTGCTATCCTGGGAAAGTCCACCAGTGTCCTTGGTGGATATAGGAAGTGAGGAAGAGGGGCTAACCTCCCCCTTCCCCCACTCCAACACTTGTTTCAGGTAACATGCCCTATGACAACATTCATATTTATTAATAGTTAGTTTGATAGTTAAATAATTCAGGGGACACCAGTTAAGTGATTAATGTTTCAGGTTACCGGAAACGTAGGCATTTCTTAAGGGTCTTGTAAGCCAAGCATTCTTTTGTGGGAGGGTCTGACAAGTCAATCAGTCTGTGGGGTGAGGGGCTGATATAACAGTCTGTGGGGATGGGGGTCTGATAATTCAATCTGTATTAGGGGGTGACGGGCTGATATAACAGTCAGTCTGTTGGGTGAGGGGTGATATAACAGTTAGTCTATTGGGGTGGAGGCCTGATAATTTATTCAGTTTTGGGAGGTGAGGGCCTGATATCTCACTCAGTCTGTGGGGGTGTGGACCTGATATCTCAATCAGTCTGTGGGGGTGGGGGTCTGATCACGGAAGTTAGTCTATGGGGTGGGGGCCTGATATCTCAATCTGCCTGTGGGGGTAAGGGACTGATATGTCAGTGAGGGGGCAAGGGCCTGATATCTCACTCAGTCTGTGGGGTAAAGGCCTGATATGTCAGTTAGTGTGTGTGTGTGTGTGGGGGAGCCTGATATCTCACTCAGTCTGTGGGGAGAGGGCCTGATATATGTCAGTCAGTCTGGGGGTGGGGGGTTGGGGGTGAGGCTGAAATGCTGAAGACAAAGGGTCAGGATGTGGTGAATGGGGATGGTCAGCTAACCCCATAACCCTCCTATCCTCTGACACAAATTGACCAGCCAGCAGACCTCACCAGGAATAAGGGCAATCAAGGGTGAATGCAGCAGGGTATTTGTGCTGTAGGGAGGTGATTAGTCTTCCTGGTACAGTCCACCTTACAATATGTTTTCAACTTTCCCACAGGTATTAGTGTTGTGAGGGGAATTACAAACCACTGGAGATTTTTGGTAACAGCCAGCGTGACACTTCTATCTTGATAAACAATCTAGAGCTTGTATAGTACTGGAGGAACTAGGACTCAGCTGTACAGACCCTCCAGTGTTGTGTAACTATATAGAGAATACTGCGGACAGAATACAGTGGGGTAACCCAGAGAGAGGGATTCCTCTGTAACAGAACGATGATCATTTGGAGACCAACTTGTAGTCTCTCGTGGTCTGTACAGTAACCCAGTTTGTGCCCCTTCCATGACATAGACAATAACATTAAGGGAATTCTAGTCTGTCTCACAGTCCCTCAACCATTTTATTTTCCCT